CCCCCGGCCGCGCGGGAGCAGGACGTTACCAGCCCCGCGGTCAAAGGGACGTGCGAGGCAGCTGCTGCGTTTTGTCTTCGGCCCTGCTTCTTGGCTCCTCCTCTGCAGGAACTTGCCCCTAGGGATGTTAAAGATCGGTTCATCGAATAATGGATCGAGCTCAGGAATTCCTAGCGGCGAATCGACGGTTCCAGTGCCCAGGCAGCCCGTCCGGTGGGGGGCATCTGAGCTCCTGGGCACCGCACGAGCTGGAACACAGCTGGGCTGCTTGCCTGCCGGCCCAGGGTTGCCAGCTGTTCGGTTTTGAACCAGACAGTCCAGTATTTGAGCTTTCTGTTTGGGAAACAAATTGAGACAATAGAAATGAGAAAACGGAAATGGCCGGTATTGTCTAAATAAGATGTGATGTAGATTGTGATGTAGTGTCAAGTGTGTCCGGTGTTTTTGTTGAAACCATCTGGCAACCCGATGCCTGGCTCCTGATACACTTTAAATGCGGAGCCACAGCAGACCAGAGGTGGGTCGAGGGCCCCAGTGCAAGGCGGGACTGAGCTGGGCTGCTGGCCAGCCTGCTAAAAAATGTCCTGGCAAAGGTGGGGGGGCGGAGGGGAGGAATGCATGTAGTCTGTTCTCAACCTTTAGTTGGGATTGGTCCTTCCTTGGGCAAGGGGGGCTGGACTTGATGACCTCCTGAGGTCTCTTCCAGCTCTATGATTCTATGATTTGAACCTTTTTTATAGATAACCTTTGAAAACATTTATAATATAAGTACCCCCGGTACTTACAGTTTTCAGACACACACAATTTTTTTCTTCCATTGCAAGACATTTTTTTTAAACAACTTAATCATACCCAGGTGAGCCATGAAATTTTTGGGTGTAAAAATTACAAAAATAATAAAGTGCTATAGAACTTAAAACAAAAATATAGTTTTCTCCAAATTTCAGTTGTGTTGAGGTGCCCCCCAGACTTCTCTCATTGAGAAACACTGGTTGAGAAACATTGGTCTATAGCAGGCATGTCCAAAGTCCGGCCCGCGGGCCAATTGCGGCCCGTGTTCCGGTTTAATACGGCCCCCGCTTCCTCCCCCTCTCCTGGCTCCCCGGCGCTCTTTTGAACTGGCGCGCCCAGCGCGCTGCTTCCGGCCGCGCCACCGCCGCCCATGGCCTCTGCGGTCCTAGAGCCTGCCCTGTAGGGCACGTCCGCAGCCCCGCTCCCCCGCTCGGCTGCGGGTTCGCTCTGCCCCCGGGCCGCCGTGAGGCCGGCGTGCCCTGCGCTCTCCACCCGCCTCTGACCCCGCGGGCCCTCCGCCTTGGGGCTGAGAGTGCGGGGACGGCCCTCATGCATGTTCACTTCTTCAAATCTGGCCCTCTTTGAAAAAAGTTTGGACACCCCTGGTCTATAGTATTAACCTATAAGCTTTTGCTAATCAGTTAATTGACTATAGTATTACACGCCCCTCCACACTGAAGTTCTGACCAAAGGCAAAGCTGACCCATCCAAATGATGGCTGTGTTTCGAGCCAGCAAGCTCACCACTAATATCTGTTCTATATGTAGAGGTCTTTATATGTAACTCTCTTCTTCTTTCTCTTTTCTTTAAGTTTTTAGTCTAGAGGCAAAAGGATTGGCTGGCAGCGTGGTAGTTTGGGTAACAGCCAAACCTACATGCCCTTTGTAATGTGGTGGACTTTCGGGGTCAGAAAAAGTTTTGTACACGTGAGTAGTTTTTTTTTTCTTTTTAATAACTTCTTGCTGTTCTGGGACTAAGTGTTGACTGGGAGACGACAGACCTGGAATGCAAACAGGGCTGTGTGCTTCCTTGTTTGTTTACTTCTTGATAACTGGTGTGGGTAGTGGTGCCATTTCAGAGATGGGCTGGTGCGGGGGGCAACTGTAACCATGATTCCAGGGGCTATTTAGGTACTTGAAAACTCTAGTTTTCTGGCAGATGATTTAGCAGTTAGCTGGCAGGAGCCCTGTATCTAATTCCTATATAAAAGAAAGACAAATATTAGACCCACGCAGCTCTCATAACAACATGCTCTAACATACATTGGGTAAATCACTTAAGGGACAATATTAGTTTTAAAATTTTAATATATACTTTGATGTTAAGTCTGTGGAGAGAGTGAGTGAGAAAGAGATCCAGACAGAAGTCCTGGGTTTTCTCTCCACTCTGGGAGGAGAGTGGGGTCTAGCACAGGGGTGGGCAATCATTTTTGCAAGGGGGCCACTTCACAAATTTTGGTACATGGTTGTGGGCTGGCTCCAACCCCGGAAGGAGTGGGGACTAGGGCACAAAGGGGCAGTTCCCTCTAGGTGCCACATGCCCATGGTGAGGGGAGGAGCCTTTGTGCGCTCCCGTGGCCCCAGGCCAATCAGTGGGGTAGGGGAGTGGACAAAGTTATTCACTGTTCAAAATGAATAGCGGCTCCCTTTAGGCACTCCGCCACCCTGGCAGGAGGAGGAGATGCCAGCCACTTTGAACAGTGAATGATTTCACGCACTCCCCTGCCCAAGGTCTGGATCAGCCTGGAGGCGTGGGAGTGGCAGAGTGGTTTGGCGGGTCGCATCTTGCCCATTCCTGGTCTAGCAGCCATAGCAGGCGGATATATACCCGGGTTCTATGTCAGATCATCAGAATGGCCATACTGGCTCAAACTAAAGGTCCATCTAGCCCAGTATCATGTCTTCTGACAGTAGCCAATACCAAATGCATCAGAGAACACAACGGGCAATCACTGAGTAATTCATCCCAACACCATTCCCAGCTAGGGATATAAATGACTAGTCGACAAACCAATAAGCATAAGCTTATCAGATAGCTGAGTAGTGACTTGACTAGTTGCTCTACCTCCCCACCTCCCCCACCACCTCTATCAGAGAGGCAGCAAGGGTGGGGAGCAGGAACCAGTGATAGGGGGAGTTGGCTTAAAAGATAATTCCCCCCAGCACTGTTTCTGCAGGGCACTGCTTGCACCAGTTCCCACTGTGGCGATTCAGCCATTGAAATGTAGC